AATGCACATCTTAGAAAAAAATTAACAATTTTGTTTTGAGATTTTGGGGTCAAAAAATTCATGGGCTATACCACATAAAAATCAATAAAATCTGTCAATACCTGTTTTGGGGCTCGTTTGAATTTGAAAATGCATCGTTTCTCTCTCGCGGATTGAACTAGTTAATTTTCTGATGTCATAACCGACATCCACGAAATCTTCGGACATTTTGTTTTGGGATTTATGGTTCAATAAAAATTCATGGGCTATAGCACACGAAAATATGTACAATCTACCATTGCCTGCTTTGCGGCACATTTGAAATTGAAAATGCACTATTTTTCCTGACGAGATGACTTGGTTCCATTTCTAAGGTCTTCATGGACGTTCATGAAATATTTTGGTCATTTTACTTTGATATTTCCGAATAAAAAAATCATAGGGTTATAGCACCGAAAATTGATAAATCTGTCTTTGCATGCTTTAGGGCTCGTTTGAACTTTAAAATGCACCATTTTTTCCCGCGAGATGAACTAGTTTCGTTTATAAGGTCTTAAAGGACGTCCATTAAAAAATTTGGTCATTTTTGTTCAGAATTTTCGGATAAAAAAATCTATGAACTATAGCACACGAAAATCGGTAAATCTGCGTTTGCCTATTTTGGAGCTCGTTTGAACTTGAAAATGCACTAGTTTTTTCTTGCGGAATGAACTTGTTTTTATTTCTAAGGTCATAGCGGATGTCCATGAAAATTTTTGGTTATTTTGTTTCGAATTTATGGATCAAAACATATTCATGAGCTCTAGCACTCGAAAATCGATAAAATTTGTCATTTCCTTCTTTGTGGCTCGCTTGAACTTTAAAATGCATTATTTTTCCCACGGGACGAACTGGTTGCATTTCTAAGGTATTAATAGACGTCTATAAAAACATTTGGCCATTTTATTTTGGATTTCTATATCAAAAAAAATTCATGAGCTATTGCACACAAAAATCGAGATAATATGACTTTGCCTACTTTAAGGCTTGTTTGAGCTTGAAAATGCACAATTTTTCCTCACGGGAAGAACTAGTTCCATTTCTAAGGTCTGACCCGACGCCCATGAAAATTTTTGACCATTTTGTTTTGGAATTTTTGAATCAAAAAAATCATGGGCTAGCACACGAAAATTGAGAAAGTCTACCTTTGCTTGGTTTGGGCTTGCATAAACTTGAAAATGCATCATTTTCTTCGCGGGACGAACAAGTTCCATTTCTAATGTCTTAAGGGATGTCCATGAAATTTTTTGGCCATTTTGTTTTGGTATTTCCAGGTAAAAAAAACCATGATCTATAGCACAAGAAAATTGGTTAAATATGCCCAATTTGCATGCTTTGGGGCTTGTTTAAACTTGAAAATGCATCATTTTTTCCCGCAAGATGAACTTGTTCCATTTCTAAGGTCTTAACGGGTGTTAATGAAAAATTTTGACAATTTTTCATTCGAAATTTTCAGATATAAAAAAGTTCATTGGTTATAGCAAACGAAAATCCATAAAATCTGCTTGTGCTTGCTTTGGGTTCGTTTGAAGTTTAAAATGTACTAGTTTACTTCGCAGGATGAACTTGTTCTATATTTAAGATCTTAGTGGACGTCCATGAAAAATTTTAGTCATTTTATTTCGAAATTTACATATAAAAAAATCAATGGGCTATAACACACAGAAATCGATAAAATCTATCGTTGTCTGCTTTGGAGCTCGTTTGAACTTGAAAATTCACAATTTTAAACCGCGGTATGAACTGGTTCCATTTCTAAGATCTTAAAAGACGTTCATGAAAAATTTTGGTCATCTTTTTTCAGATTTCCAGATTAAAAAAATTCATGAGCTAGCACACGAAAATCGGCAAAATCTTTCTTTGCCTGCTCTAGGGCTTGTTTAAATTTGAAAATGCAGCAATTTTCCCCGCGAGGTGACTAGTTCCATTTCTAAGATCTTAAAGAACGTCCATGAAATATTTTGGCAATTTTATTTTGGGATTTTCGGAGCAAAAATAATTCATGGACTATAGCACAAAAATCGGTAAAATTTGCTTTTGCCTGTTTTAGGGCTCATTTGGACTTGAAAAAATATCATTTTCCCCGCGGAACGAATTCGTTCCATTTCTAAGGTATTAGTGGACATCTCTGAAAAATTTTGGTGATATTATTTCGAGTTTCCTGATTAAAAAAAACTCATGGGCTATAGCAAATGAAATTAATAAAATTTGTCTTTGCCTTCTTTGGAAATCGTTTGAACTTAAAAATGCACCATTTCCCCCCGCGGAACGAACTGATTTCATTTCTAAGGTCTTAACGAACATCCATGAAAAATTTTACTTATTTTTTTTTTGGATTTGTGAATACAAAAATCTATGGGCTATAGCACAGAAAAATCAATAAATCTGTCTTACAAATGCTTTGCAGCTCGTTTGAACTTGAATTTGGACCATTTTTTCCTACAAAAAGAACTGTTTCCATTTCTAAGGTCTTAACAGATGTAGATAAAAAAATTGTGCCATTTTATTTTAGGATTTTTGGATTTAAAAACATCATGTGCTATAACACACGAAAATCGATAAATTTGTCTTTGCCTGCTTTAGGACTCGTTTGAACTTTAAAATGCACCACTTTTCTCGCGGGACGAACCAGTTCCATTTCTAAGGTCTTAATGGACGTTGATAAATATTTCAGTCATTTCGCTTCAGGATTTTCGGATTAAAAAAATTATAGGCTATAGCACACAAAAATCAGTAAAATATGTCTTTGTCTGCTTTGTGAATCGTTTGAACTTGAAAATGCACCATTTTTCTCCACGGGATGAATTAGTTTTATTCCTAAGGTCTTAAAGGATGTCCGTGAAAAATTTTGGCCATTTTATTTTGGGATTTCTGAAATTAAAAATTCTATGGGCTATAGCACAGAAAATCAATAAATCTTCATTTTGGTCATTTTGTTTTGGAATTTACGGATCAAAAAAATTCATGGGTTATAGCATGTGAAAATCGGTATAATCTGCCTTTACTTGCTTTGGGGCTAGTTTGAACTTGAAAATGCACAATTTTTCCCCGCAAGACAACTGGTTCCATTTCTAAGGTCTTAACGGATATCAATGAAAAATTTCAACCATTTTTTTGGGATATTCAGATTAAAAAAATTCATGAGTTATTGGCACACGAAAATTGGTAAAATATGTCTTTGCCTGCTTTGAGGCCCGTTTAAACTTTAAAATACACCATTTTCCCCCGCAGAATGAACTGGTTCTATTTCTAAGATTCTAACGGACTTCGATCAAAACATTCGAGCATTTTGTTTCAGGATTTTTGGATTAAAAAAATTCATGGGCTATATAGCACATGAAATCGATAAAATCTGTCATTGCCTGCTTTAGGGCTCGTTTGAACTTGAAAATGCACCATTTTTTCTCGCGGAATGAACTGTTTCTATTTCTAAGGTCCTAACGGACGTTAATGAAAATTTTTGGCCATTTTATTTTGAGATTTTCGGATCAAAAAAATTCATGGGTTATAGCACACAAAAATTGATAAAATCTGGCTTTGCCTTCTTTGGGGCTCGTTTGAACTTGAAAATGCACAATTTTCCCCACAGGACGAACTTGCTCCATTTTAAGGTCTTAATGGACTTCCATGAAAAATTTCAACCATTTGTTTTTGAATTTTTGAATTAAAAAAAAAATTCATAGGCTATAACACACAAAAATCGGTAAAATATGTCTTTGTCTGCTTTGAGGCTCGTTTGAACTTCAAAATGCACAATTTTTTCCCGCTGGACGAACTGATTCCATTTCTAAGATCTTAACGTACGTCTATGATAAATTTCTGTCATTTTGCCCTAAATTTCTTACCATAAATAGGTTTTCCTTTTAGGAAATGGTTTTAGATTGACTAATCCTTTTTCTGGTAGGAAAAGGTTTAGGACTCTATAAATAGAGACATGTTCCTTCTAACTTAATTAGCATTCACAATGTAGTCTTAAGGGCTTTGAGAGTTTTGGTTATGGGGAGAATTTATGGGTCACAAGCTTGATATGATATCACTTGTGTGAACTTCCCATGTATTCTGAGTGAATTGGTTGAGGTTGTTTTCCTCTGTTATTTTGTACTCTCATATTTATAGTGGATTGCTCATCTCCTTTGTGGACGTAGGTCGATTGACCGAACCACATTAAATCTTTGTGTCTTTTGGTATATTTCTTGTTGTCTTCTTACTCGTTGTCTTTTGAGGTTTGCGTTGCTAGCTTCCGCGTTTACACCTGCTTATATCCGATCCTAACACAGAGTAACATCTGCATATAGCTCTTCAAGCAATAGAGTTATTACTTGGTCATGAGATTAATAACTTCTTCTCACATTGGTTTTAACTGTGGTTCACTTTTGCTTATAGAAGATTAGTGAAACAGTTGAAAATCATGTGCAACAGGTCGTGGTTTTACTCCCTTGAGCAAGGAGGTTTCCACGTAAATTTTTTTGTGTTGTGTTATTATTGCTAATTTCTTTTCGTTGTCTTTCTGGTTTAGTCAAGGGACTGGTCCGTTGACTGATAGTGGATGCACACATCTATCATCATGTCTCCTAAAACGGAGGTATCCTTTCCGGTGGCAGCTGTCTTGGTTCGTCTCCACTATCTCTTGCCTGAACGACAACCTAGCCTATTCTGGCTCCATCAACTCACACTTGATCATACCCAACCTGAATGTTGTTTTAGTACTAATTATTGATGCCACCAGTGATTAAGAGACAAACGGTGGAAGAATTGAGGGTACAAGAGGCATATCATTATCATGAAGACAATAGCAGCAAAGAAATTCAAGAATATGTGACAATGCAGACATGTTACTAATTCAACCTTTAGTAGAAAATTTCAAACTCTTGCAGGTTGCTTACTAAACTCGATATTTACAAGTGATTCAGGGAGTGCAACTTTGGCCAGTGCTATACAGCTCCATTTGCAGATCATCTCACAGTCCGGTTGCCCTTTGGTGTTTAGTGACCAGCTGTTCTTTCTTCTCCATGGATGATTGCATCATAAAGGGACAACTCTTCAAGATTGGGCAGTCTCGCTATTGTTGATAGTGAATCGGATGTCAGAGGAAAGTCATACAACAACAGTTGTTTCAAATTTGAAGGGAAGTGAAAATCCCACGGCCGATTTGTCGCTACAGAGGACCCAATGTGGTTTGTGTTTGAACTTTTAAAACTTGCACGGAGTTTTTCTAGTTCAGTTAGGCAATCCAATTTCGGGAACCAATGTTGCTCTGTTGAATAATCCCATGACTCCTTGAGTACAAACTGAAGCATCTGAAGATTGGGAAACCTTTTGAAAATATTCTTTGTATCTTTCGAATAGAAAATCAACAGTTCCCCTAATATTCTCAAGTTCTCTAACTTTGTGTCCTTTGCTATCAATATTGATTCATCTGCATCCATATCAAAGAAAGAACAATCATCCACGAACAGCACTCGCAGCTTTACAAGATCCCAAATTCTCGGTAATAGTATCAAGGTTGATTCTTTGTTATTTACCGACAAGAATTCTAGATTCCAGAGGTTTGAGAAAGACAAAGGCAGATATTTAACTTGTGTCCCAATGAATAAGTACCTCAAATGATTCAACATGCATATTTCATTCAGCAAAGAATCATTCACCATGATAAAAGAGGTATCCAGGTCCAACACTCTAAGAAGCCTCAAGTGTCTTAGATGAAATGTATAAACTCTGTCATCCAGCTCGTCTCCATTTATTTTCAAAGAATAGAGGTGTTTACCAGAATGCCTTTTCTTATTTGAATCGAACATGACAAAATTAAGCCCAAAGTGCTCCTCATCATCATCATAATCAATGATAAGTTGACGAGGCAACACATCTGATGGAGCACTTGATCTTATCCGATCAAACAAATTTTCCTTTCTTGCTTTTATCAAACAAAAGTCATGCACAAGATCATGAATTTGGAAACTCAGTGCATCGCCTATCTCATTGAAACAAATTACCAAGTTACTGGAAATTAAATCATCCATATAAATCTTCACCACTTCTTCCATAATCTTCATCTCCGTCTTCCCCACAAATCCTTTAGCACCCAAAAAAAAATTCAACTCATAGATACTCATTATAGTGTCCTTCGGCCAACTTGCAAAATACAGCAAGCATGGCTTGAGGTGATGTGGTAAATGGTCATAACTTAATTCTATAACTTTCATCACTTTCACTTCACTGTTTAAAATAAAAGAACTCGAACTACTTTGAACTTCAAGCCACACACTCCTTTTCTTTTCCCTCCCAGCAATGACTCCAACAATCAGATCAGCCACCAAAGGAAGCCCTTTACAATTTTTGGCTATTTCTTTATCGACATCTAATAGTTCATCAGGGAAACTCTCGTTCCCAAATGCCCTTTTCTCTAATAGTTCCCAACTTTCATCTGGTCTTAGCAATCGAAGGTCAAGAGGATCAGTGTTCAGCTTTCCATGCAAAGCCACTTCCTTTCCTCGAGTTGTCAAAATAATTCTACTTCCTTTCTTAGCTTCAGGAAAAGGTCTTGTCAACTCATCCCATGTAGTAGTCTCCCACGCGTCATCTAAGACAATAAGATACCTCTTTCCATACAGTTGTTTCCGTAGCTTATCAGGAACATCAATATTCTCACTCAAAAAGTGCGAGGAGCAACTTCCTCTTATAGACATTCAAAAAGTGGGAGAAGCCCAGTCGATGGAGTTGAATACAAATCCAAGTCGATCCATCCTGCAATTCCATAATGTCAAATAATATCTAGAGTGATGTCTTTGATGTTTAGTGACCAGCTGAAGAAATGAGACGCGCAATTCCTTGATCCCCAATGAGTACTCAATGGAATGTAACGAGGAACGATGTTTGATAATATTTCATTCATCTATTGTTATTTTTTTTTTGTGTGTGTGTTCTCTTTACTCAGAAGACATGAATCTCCTTCTTGGATCTATTTTCATTACGTTCCCATCATGCCTTCTTTTGCAAATGAAGAGTAACAATATCCCCACTTCAACGGTGTTCTAGTTTCTACGCGTCTTTCTACATGTGAATGTCTCAAAAGCTTGAATGCAGATTGCAATGGAACAACAATTTATCATCAAATGTTATACTATGAGTTAATTCGTGCTACGCTAATAAGTTTAGATATGTATAGAACAAACACAATAACAACCAATCGATCACTAATATAGCTACTCGAAAGATTAACAAAAACTCGAGAATGCAGTGAAACAATAAAGAAATAAGAAGAAACAGAGGATTTAATTTCCTTAGAAAAATATGCACATATATTTGTATTTGGCATAACATATATATTGAACCCTAAACTTGACTTCAAATTTTAACTTTGACCTCCAACATTCATAATGCACAAACTTACATGGCACAATAGACGTAAGACACCACGCAGGACAAAAAAATGTCATGTAGGATGACATGTAAGACATATGTGTTACAAGTTTAAGTGTCTACTTGTGCACATCCAAAGTTGAAGTGTATAAATGTGATTTAAAATCAAGTTAAAGAGCATATTTATATATTATGCCTTTGTATTTCATTGGACAAATCTTTATTAATCTCGTTATTTTTTTGTAATATCAATGAACGAAGTGGTTATAAAGAGGTTAGAAAGGGGAAAATTCTCCATTTTAAGGCCAAAAAACCATATGTAGATAGATATGTAGGTACTAATAATGCCACTACAAAAAAAAAATTAAAATGATATTAACTAATTAATATTCATTCATTGCGATTTATGGTTATAATCGTACAATTACTTATTCTGGCTTCCTGCATAGAATCATATGCATAGGAGTGAAAATGCCAATTTCACCTCCTTTAGTCAAATAATCAGCTGTCACTAACAACATGTCGTGGACATCAACGACGCCCTTAGGGGCGATCCCGAGCCAAGAAAGCATGGTTACCATGACATGGTTCCTCCAGTAAGCGATCCTCCCCATCTTGAGCCGTGTCCACCATGGCTCTGCGGGTGGTTTAGCTAAATCGCTCTCTTTAATCACCTCAAAACCTACTTTGGTTGCGATGTTAGCAATGTCCTTGTAGCTTCTCAACCCAGGCAATGCATCTCCTCTTTCAATCCCTCGAACTATCTCCACATGTTCAGGATCGTCAGGGTTGTATAATTCAGTTGTGACCCACTCATAGGAAACATAGAATGATCCGGGCTTTAATACCCGGTAGATTTCTCCATATACTTCTTCAAGCTTAGGTGCATGACATGTAGCTTCGATGGAGTATGCTCCCTCGAAACTATTGTCATCAAAGGGCATTTTTAGGAAATTACCACAAACAACCTCACACATAGAGTCAAGCCCGGCCTTTTTGTTGTGGGCCCGGGCCCGTTCCACTTGGTACTCATTAATAGTGATTCCAACAACATTAGCACCTGAGTGGGCCGCGATGGCCCGCATTGGGCCACCAACCCCACAACCAACATCAAGGACACGGGCTCCGGGCTCCACATTCAAGAGATTAACCGCCATTTCCTCATGAATACGCGTGGCATCGTTATGGGATTTCCCCCGTATACGAGGAGAGAAGTGGAAAGACTGGCCCCAACCCCACTCGTATATATCGGTGACGAGATCATAAAATGTGTCAACAAGGGCGGGGACTTTGTCGGAGGAGTCCATTTCTTTTCCGTTAGGGCCACTCTCAAAAAATGACGAATATCGATCATACCCTTCTTGAACTTTCTCTTTAGGTAAAGAACCACCAGAAAGTTGAACTGCCCTTTTACCCCTTTGCTCCCCAGAGCCTAAAAGGAAAGTACAATAACAAAATCCACCGCCAAAAAGAAGGGCGGTGGTAAAAAAAATAGTAAGTAATTCCTTAAAAAATTCCATTGGATTATAAAAGTGAATTTAGAAACAAAAATAAAAGTGTGAGCATAGAAGTAAGTGAGAAATGAAGTGTTTTTATGGTGAGATTTTACATAACAATAATAGCGTAACAAAAGGAACAATTTTAGTATTAAAAAAAAAAGACTTTTTCTCGTGTGATTTATTTTATTATTGAAAAGAATATTAATTTGAGTGCTAATTAATAGGGTTTTGACTAGGTTTCAGTACTTTTAAAGTTGGATTATTTTGTACCTAATTATCTAATAATAGTAGTTATGGGAATTTTCACCCTAGTAAAATATTTCGAGTTTTTAGTTATCTAAATGTGTATAAATTAATTAATTGTTTGTACATTTTTCATGTACATCTAATTAATAAGGGGAATTAAATGTGTATATACAAGTGTTACATAAATTTACAGGTCTAAAAATATGGCAGTACATAGCTAAAATTTTATAATCGCAAAATTGGAAATTTCAAATATATTTTTTCTAATTTTATGTTACTGGATATCCTAAAAATTGGGAACAAGTTATACTGTTCCACAAATTATATAGATCCAATTATTTTATATTATCCCATTTTATTAGATATTTAGTATAAGCAAAGACAAAATGAAGTGTTGTATAGTTACACAAAAAAAAAATGTGATATTTCCTCATTTAATAAAAGTTAAAAGTAACAATCAAAATACATAAATATTTTATCACTATATCAAATGAAGAAAAAATCACATTTTATTTCTGTGTAACTATATAACACTTCAATGTACATATCATAAGATCATGCGCTTCATTGTATAAATTATAACTGGAACTCTCTATAATAACATTTCACAATAATCGTCTAAGTTTTTTGTGGAATCGATTTTTCATGTAATGTTATATATCGTATGTTTTCTGTAACAAAATTTCAAAAAATATTCAGACAAATAAAGTTGTTATCGAGAGTATTGTGATAGTCCATCTGAAATGAAGGTTTGTTTGATTCTAAATCTTAACATTCATAGATATTGACCTTTTACCCATTATGATATGTTGGTTGTTGAGGTTACATAGTAGTAAGTATTTTTTTGCATAGTTGTATATTTTTTTTGTGGTAAAACATTATCCATTTACATGTAGACTTGTGTTAGTAATGAAATCAATATCTATCTACACTCTCCAACAAAATGAATAAGCAATTAATGTCTTATCATTTCAACATGACAAGATATGCATCACATTTTACAAAATGTTCTTGGCTAAATTGAGTTTTCAGGGACCCCATAGTTTGTTCAACCATTTAATTTGCTTAATGGCATAATAATGCCTTAAATTATCATTCATCATCAATAAAAATAAATGAAAGTATCAATATTCAATACCGTTATAGTAGTATTAACACATAAATTTTTATTCAATTGATTCTACGAGCCTAAAATGGATAGCATGAAAGCAACATACTTCTTTCGATTATTTTTTCATATATCAGCGGTGTTTGAGTCAGTTTGTGCGGAAAAAAATCCCTATCTACCTAAATTTATTGGTACCTATGTATGTTGATAGGAGGAAACATGTAATTAACTTGTGAAATAGTCAGGATGCACGTAATTAGTGATATCAAATATGATTTATTAAGAGTTAATAATCAAAAATATGTTTGAATTATCATATTTTTGTGAGTTTCGCGTTTTAACTATCAATTGTACATTTAGTTTTCCTACCTGAATTATGTTATACCATACATCTAGTTGAGTAGATAGTGATGGTAAAATTAGTAAAAGAAACCAATTATTTAACTTCGAGGTGTATTTTAGTAGATGGTGATATATAGTTTAGATAAAAAAAAATACAAATTATAATAGTTTCGGGATGAAACTAAAAGAAGTAAACAAATGGAATATATGTACACGAGTTGAAATTAGGCTTCATTGAGTAATATTTGTGCTTGTATGGTACGGCTTATGTGTGTGAATATTGCAAACTGTAATGAAAAGGAAGTTAAAACTATATTATAAAATATTATATGTGTGATAGCTAGCTTAACAACCTTGACAATTACTTAAAAAGAAAATATGTGTAAGTTGGAGGTTGAATAATCATATTGGCTTTATTTACACCAAACAACACATGATTCAAATTAAATTGTGATTGGAGGTATGAAAAAAATTAAAATAAAATAAATTGTTAGTTAGTTAAAAGTTGTGATAAAGAAGCAAACTTCTTTTTTCCCCTAAAGAAAATCATTGTTTCCTTCTTAAATAATTTTATATTAATAGGTCATTTTTATTTGTTATAGCAAATAATTTTAAAGATTTCAAATTATTATTTTTCTTGAAAGTTTATTTGTAAATATCATTTGAATATTATAATGATGTATAAAAGTTAAAATTATAAAGAAATAAGTTTAGCTATTATGCACGGATAGTGTAAAATATTTTTTTTTTGCATTATCAGGTCTCGTAAAACATAACTAAAGAAATTGTACTTAAAAAGTGAGATTAGTAACCTAAAATTAAATCGATTATAACAAGTTAAAATACAATTATAATATAATATCTTTAACCTAAATTAAAGTCCAAAAAAGAATTTGGAAAACTAAAATCATAAACACATCTTTGATGATCTTCTATAACAACCAAAAAAAAATATATACGAGTTTAAATGTCTTTAAAATTAAAGATAACGAAATGCAGTAACCTGAAAAATAAGATGGTGTAGTCTATTATGACAGGTTAAAATATATTGATAACATAAATAGTAATATACAATATTATTAGTATAAATTTTAAAAAAAAATTGGTAAAACAAAACCACCAAACAACAATC